TCAGACCCAGGCCAGCTGGCCTTGGTGAGTTCCTGATAAGACATCCCCATTGTCTCAGTGTGTGGGTGCACCCCTCATGGTCCTGAGTTCCTTGCTCGTGATCTCTCTCCTTCTGCTCCTGATTTGGACCTTGGGATTTCAGTCCGGTACTCCAAAGTGAGTCTCTGTCTCTGTCTCCTTTCATCGCCTGATGAAGGTTAATATCCAGGAGGATGACTATATGTTTATCTTTGGGTTCACCTTCTTATTTAGCTTCTCTAGGATCAGGAACTATAGGCTCAATGTCCTTTATTTATGGCTAGAAATCAATTATGAGTGAGTACATCCCATGTTCCTCTTCTTGGGTCTGGCTTACCTCACTCAGGATAGTGTTTTCTATTTCCATCCATTTGCATGCAAAATTCAAGAAGTCATTGTTTTTTACTGCTGAGTAGGGTTTTGATCCTACTGCACGTACTGGCTTTGTGGGAGCCTAGGCAGTTTGGATGCTCACCTAACTAGACCTAAATGGAGGTGGGTGGTTCTTGGACTTCCCACAGGGCAGGGAACCCTGATTGCTCTTTGGGCTGATGAGGGAGGGGGACTTGATTGGGGGAGGGGGAGGGGGAGGGAAATGGGAGGCAGTGGCGGGGAGGAGGCAGTAATCTTTAATAAATAAATAAAAGATATCAACATAAAAATAAAAAAAAGATTAATCTAGCAACATTGGGCATTCAATCCTTCAGAGTGGTTGGATAGTACTTCTCAGATGAAGCCTGTCTTCCCAGAAATTCTTCTCCTCTTACAGAATCACAGTCCATGCTACTTGCTTACATTCTGACTAAGGTTTTTGTAAATTCTCTGATCTACAACACACAGGGCTATGGGCTGTAGTAATCCTCTACTCAAATTTTGTTTCATGTTGCTATTCCCATTTTCAGAGCAGGCAACAACATCCAACTTTCTGGATGTCTGTTTCTGGGCATATTAAATTCTCATAACAAATCCATCTTCTTACTTCTCATATCACTTTGTGCTCTGGACCTGACCACAGACTTACTAGGTTCCAACTAGGAACAAATTAATGAGTCTTACTTCTTAAATGAAGCAGTGCAGACAATGCCATTTTTTTCTTGAGATAGTTAATTCTGATTCCTTCTTTGGCTGTGGTCACAGGCCTCTCTTGCTTTAGCAGCATACCCATGGCAGGGCTCTGAACCTGGCATTCTAAGTGTCATTGTGCTGTCTGCTTTGTGTTGTATAATTTCCCTAGGTAATAGCCAGTAAGTAAAGTTTAAGTTTTTTCTTGACAGGTAACCTTTTGTTCTTCTCCTGGATCTTTGAAAAACTGTCATATTTTACTCTAAAGGATACCTTTATTTGCCTTAATACTTCTGAAACAGAATAGAGTATGTCTGTGCTTACCTCAGCAGTTTTAATGCTGCCCATTAAAAAGTCTCTGATCTCTCTCTCTCTGTCTCTCTCTCTGCCTCTCTCTCTCTCTCTCTCTCTCTCTCTCTCTCTCTCTCTCACACACACACACACACACACACACACACACACACACGAGGACTACAGTGCAATTGTGTTTTGTGTGCTTAGTTGTTTAATTTGTAATACAGACAATGAAAAGCAGAGGTCTCATACATCCTATAAAATATCTTTTCCCGTCACATTTATTCTATTCAGCAACTTTTTTGGAAATTTGTGTGCTGGAAAGATAGTTCCTTCAGATTAATACTTTCCATGAAAATAATATTTGGAATTTTAAAATAACTAAGGGTGAGGGACACTGGCTTTGTCCCTGTAGTGTACACTGGACCTAATGGTTTCAGCTGTGTGCAATGGTCAGGGACCATACATGTTGACCTCTACTTTTCTTGTGTCAGGCAAACTGTGGAAAGGCTTGAAAAGCGACAAAATGAGTGAAGACCAGACAAAACTGTTTAGCCTTTTTTACTGATTGTTTTAGTTATGATTTCTATTGCTGAAACAAAACACCATGACCAAAAAAAAAAAAAAAAAAAAAAAAAAGTTGGGGAAAAGAGGTTCATTTGGCTTCCAAACAAACACTTCCAAATCATAGTCTATCATTGGAGGAAGTCAGAACAGGAACTCAAGCAGAGCCAGAACCTGGAGACAGGAGCTGATGCAGAGGCCTTGGAGGGAAGTTGCTTACTAGCTTACTTCCCGTCACTTGTTCAGCCATTTTTCTTATAGCAGCCAAAACCACCAGCTCAGGAATGACACTATCTACCATGGGCCGGATTCTCAGCTGAGGCTCTTCTCTCTGATGACTCTTGCTTGTGTCAAGTTGACACACAACCAGCCAGTACAGCAATTAAGTAGAAATCATTTATAAGAATTTGGGAGTGAGTTAAGGAGGCTCTGCTAAACATTAGGCAAGATATTCATTTTTGCTGAACATAAGTTCCTTTTACTGTTAAAATTATAGTAAGGATTCAGGGATCCTTTTCATCTAGTTATTGGTCTTCATTTACATGTTGAAGGTTAAATAAATGAAAGTCTTATGCAAATCATGTTTTCATGTAGAAAGTTCACCCAGTTCTTAATTAGCTATCTCTACCATATAGTATTGAGAGCTAAACTAAGGAAACATAGTAATTTCTGAGACATTTTAGAGGTGGAAAAAAACATTCCTGAAATAATGCTGTTTGTTCAAAGGTGATAATAAGTAAAAACAGTAGCATATATAATTCACATACCATTCACTGTACCTTGTTCTGTGTGAAGAGATCTGTAGTTTCATCTTCCCACCTACATTAAGAGGAAGGTAAATTTATGCCTCAAGTTTACAATTAAGTATGTATATAATTATTGCTTAGTAGGCTTCATGTAAGTACTCAAGATGAAGTCTATAGACAGTGGGTTCCAAGCTTTTAAACTACCATGCTACTCACAAAATTAGAAGCATGTAAGCCACAAACACAGACATTAATGAACAATAAAACCACACAGAGAACTTTTAATTTTTATTTATATTTCTTAGGTCAAGAATTACACACTAATCAACATTATTATATATTTACATGCTGAAACTGGCTGCGATAAGTTGAAATTCATGAAAATAATTCTTATGTGCTATTCATTGATAATCTTCTTTTTGATTTTTACTACTGCATGTATCCCAGAGATTTTTAGAAGTCCTGTTTTGAGAAAGACATGAAAACGGATGCAATGTATCCTGCTAGTGCTTTGCCTCTTCTAGCTGTTGGGAGAGAGCATAGTGTGTGTGTGCTCAGAAAGGCTACAAGGTCATTGTAAGGCTGATAATCACTACATTGTGAAGAAACTAGAACATCACGCCTTAGAAAAGGACAGTCCAGAACTACGCAGGAACAATTCCGTAACAGAACTATTTAAACACCCATGCAGAGAAAAATGGGCAAGTGGCACACAGTTTAAATTATAGGCAACTTTGTTTGAGTGAACTGTGTCTAAAATAAATGTGGCTGGACTCTTAATCACTGAACCAAAATACAAAGCAAGAAAGAATACAAGTTGACGGAAATGTTGACCTGATTCAAATGGCGCAAGGAAGAGGCGTGGCCTCAGATGTAAGGTGGAGTAACAGGGAATGGCACTTTGCTTTAGAACTCAAAGCAAAGTTTTGTTTTTCATCGTTTTGGATGTTTATCACAAAAAGGATGTCTTAAATCAAATTAAAAATCGATGTCAAAATCTTGCACATATCTAGGGAAATGTTCTCAATGAATTCCTAAAAGCTAAAGCTATTCAAGGGTACAGATGTTTCCCAACTTAAAAATAACAAACACACAAACAAACAACAATTTGCTCAGGGCAGCATCTGATTTTACACTCTATTGACTCCTTACTATTTTTTTAAAAACCATCTTCCTACTGCGTTTGAAAAAATTATTTAAACTTTGGTGTAAAGCAGTGTCTTCCCCCCCTCCCCCCACCATTTCCTATTTTTTCCTTTCCTTTTGAAAAATAATTCTGGAGTCTTTGGTTGAAAGGAATAATACTATCTAAAGACAGAATGCTACTCTCTAAGAAAGCAAACAAAACAAAATCTCTTCTAGCATGCATTGTACGTAAAAAGATGTCTGGAGCGGGCAGGAAGAAACATTTTTGTTATCCGCAGTACTGCTACAAACCTCTAGTTTTGGGGAAAAGCCATAGTCTGCAATCTTTGGCTTCTTCTACTCTAGCTTAGAAAAACTATTACGTTAACCCTAACCACTTTTCCTTTTTTCAAGTTGCCATTTCCAAAGCATCTCTTTGTTGTTAATATGACACCAAAACAATGCTACGTTTCCCACTGAGAGTGAGAAAATGGGAGTGAAGAGAAGGAAGTGGAAGACAGTGGTGTGTGTGTGTGTGTGTGTGTGTGTGTGTGTGTGTGTGTGTGTCTGTGTATACTCCTACCTGTATGTGAGAGACAGCAATGGAAATCCTTCTGTCTGGGATTCCCAAATCATTTTTGCAAAAGGGTGTTTAAATTACTCTGCTAGGGCACTCCAGTAAACATACTTAGTAAAAAATAAATAGATAAAATTAAGACAACAACGCTAAACAATTCTTTTTATCTATTGACTATTAATTTACAGCATCTTTAATTATGTACATATTGTAACACATCAGTGTAAGCCATAAACAGAATTAGTACATTGCCTTACCATAAAATACAAATTAGAAGTTAAAAATATTTAAGAAATCTGTTTAAATATTTACACACGCTCAGTGAACGTTATGTTTGCTTACATAACAGACTCTGTACACTTAGCAAAATGGCATGAATGCTACAATGGTAATTTTCCCTAACCAACGTGGTGAGGGTTGGTTTCAGTTTTTCTTTTTTTTTTTCTTTTTTACTCCTCCCAAGAGGATTTATTTTCCCATTTTCTTATTTTTTTTTTATTTTAAATCACCAATGGACAATGCTATCTATGTCCTTAGAGAGCAAATGGACATTTGACAAGCAATGCAGAAACTACTTAACATCTGCTATTCTGAGGTACAGTAGTATTGTAGTGTCAAACTGTGCAATGTTCTTAGGAACGTAGGCATTGATCTGCTGAAAGAGATATTCAGTACCCTGTATTACTTATTTCAGGATGGTGACTGTTGGTTGCCAAATAAAAAAAAAAAAAAAGACTCATATACAGGCTCAATGAAGGGAACAACTCATTAGCTTATTCCTTTTGTTTCTGACATATGAATGCATACATATGCATGTGTGTTTACACGAATCTCTATATACACATATACACATGTAGATATGCTATAAGACCGCCTATGTCAATGCTTTCAGTTTGTGTTTTTAAACATGAAGTTAGCCAGAAGACTGAAACACAGCGACCTACAGAAAATGAAAGTGGTCATAGTTGTCAATTTTAAGCAGGTCTTGCTTCAAAAACCACTGTGGTTAATTTCTTCATTGGATATCCCACTGCATGGCCGTGAAGTGTTGTGCTTTTGTATGCTTACAGATTATATCTGTATGTGGTCCTAATGCTAGAATGTTGAGTCTTTTGGTATTAAAAAAATCATTATTATTATCGTTGTTTTTATTATTTTACTTAGCACTGCTCTTGTGGAAATGAAGAGACTGAAGGACTTGATGACTCTGCTTGAGTCCTATCCCCTGTTGTTAAACAGCAGTAGAAAGAATTGTAACATTCCTATGCAAACACATGGGTATGTCGCATGAGATTTCAGTTCAGAAGTGCATTTCATACCTACAAGCAGTCATGTACAATAAATATATATATATACAGATTGAGATCAGAGATTTTGTTTAGACTGTGCAGTTGAGAATCAGAATTTGCCCATTAATTTCTCAGAGATGGAAAAACACCTTAATTGCTGGCTATCTGGTTACTGTATAATCAAAAGAAAAAGCTATACATATGTATAAACTGATTGCAATACCATATTAAGATTGCCAAAACACACCTTGGTGGTCCTTTAGTTTAATTACTGGGTAACAAACTAATTGGTTTTCCCAGATTCATCAGACCTAGCACCCTTTCCTGCATTCTAATTCAACTAAAAACATAAAAAACAAGTTCTACATGGACCACTATTCCTGGACAGGATGAGGCAGTGCTTTCTTCCTACATGGTTATTGAATGCCAACATATGGCTTCACTCTAGGACATTGGTTCCAAGGTCTTATCTTCTTTCCGCATTAGTGCAGAAATGTGTTTCCCGGTCGTATGCACGTGAGGCCCCTGCTGTGAGGCTGCTTCCCCCCATTTTGATCTAAATAGATTGCCTGACTTCCCTGGACATCTAAGATTTTGTTATAACCACAAATGACAATATCAAGGATTTTTTATGGCTTTTATGGAAATCGCAAATGGGAGCCTAGACTTAGGCTTTGAATTGTCTCTAGAAAAATCTCCTCAGAATGGCGTGTCACAGGTGTGCCCCTGAGTTGATTGTTATGCTTCTTTCATGTTATTTCGTATTCGAGCATCACCCCTTGGTGACAAGGGATAGGCACTTTTATCACTGTGATCCCCAGAAATGATTGCGTAGAAGAAAGTGTGTAGAAGCTTGAAGAAGAATCGTCACTCTGAGAACGTGCAGAGATCCTCCATTAGATCTGTGATCCCATAACTCTAAAGTGTTCAAGTACTTAATCAAGCTACAGGCGCCAGACTTCCCAACACTGATAGAAACCAAACCATCCCAAACCAAACCAAACCAAATCAAACCAAACCAAACCAAACCAAATCAAATACTCTACCATGCCAACTTTGTGAAACTTTAGAAAATGAATGTAAATCTATTTTTTTTTTTGCTTTTTATTTCTCTTTCTAATTGTTGGAATGAATGTGCAAAATAATGCTTATTACCCCAAGTTTCTGAGTCACAAGAGGAAGTAAGTGGATCCTTTTCCTGCAGGGTGATACTAGACTTAACTCCTATGTACTTACTGGGTACCTTATTCTGAAGACAGATTTTTTTTGATTGTTTTAAAAATAGAAGCAGCAGTCATCCTCTGAGGAAAAGGTCAATCAGAGCCAAACTCATAAAAAAAACCCTTAATATTCTAAGTTTTCAGTATTTTCTGTAGGTGAAAGTCAAATATGAAACCTCTCCATTGACAAAATATAAATATATTAGCCTATTCTCTTTTCTGTCTGATATATGAATGGGTATACCCAATTTAGAAAGATGAAAAATGGCATAATTGGAAAGATAGAACAAGAACTACACCATCCTACCCATCCTGGTTGTCAGTTATCTACACTTCTGCAGCAACAACTGAGAGCTCAACCCTCACCATGGCTTTGTTCTAATCCCGTTGTCCCCTAGTTCTGGCTTGCTTAAGTAGATTGTAATATATACAGTGTAAGCACCCTTTAAATTATCAAACCCAAGTGACACACAGATTCCATCTGTGCATACACATGCCTTGGAAAACATAAAGATGGACTTCATGGACCATGAGAAAACCCAACCGTGCAGTCTCTATAATGCCTGTGGTCTCTGTCTTTTAAGTGTAAAAAGAGAATTTGAAAAGCAAGAAAAGCTAAAGATGCTGATCAATAGTTTAGAGTAAATAACAAATTCTCTTTTTAAACTACTGTCTTTGATTCAGAAATAAACTGATAGGGAGATGATGTAGGGGCAGCTGACCCTGAGAAAAATGATCTGGTCATCTATGCTCTGTGTTTGATTATTAGAAGAATTCTCAGTTTAGCCCAACAAGATATTTTTAATTTTCTTCACTTTTCTGATTGACTTTTATTCTCTTCACCTTTCTATTTGATAGCTACCTCTTGGTGAGATAAATGATTTAAAATGTCTTCCTTATGTATGCTAAGCTTATGCTCATGAGGTCGGCAAACCAATTCTTCTCACGCTACTCTTTGCTGCTCAGCACTGTGCGCAGACCAGATGCCACGTGGCCCTGACAAGGGTTGCACTCACTTGTTTTGCTTTCTCTTGAACTACAGTCATTTCTGGATTTTTAACCCTGCTTTGCGCTGTTAACTCATCTTTTAACCAGCTAGGAAATAGCTTGTTGGCAAAATGTACATTTTGGCTCCTGTGCACAGGCTGCTCAGAAGTCTTCCTCTGTCTCAGGCTAAATTGAAAGATATCTCAGATGGTTCTTTCTAGGCCATGAAACAGCAGACAAATTGACTTTCTAAGTCTCTTCTTTAAAGCTTTGTCACACCTCCCTACTTTGAATATGCTCAAAATATGTGTTTGTCAATTAGACCCTTGACAATCACCTCTCCATGACACATCATCTGGCAAAGACCTCACTGACCATATTGAAGTAACTAACATGCTTCCATTATTGCGGGATAATATTTCATAAGCACAGTGTGATCCCAACAGCGTGCTGATCTTAGGAACAAAGATGGAGAGTGAAATGACCATGTCTCAGAGAACTGACTGCCAATGCTAACGAGCTTTCTAACATCTTCTAGAATCTACATAATAACCTTCTAAGTAGGCTGTGTGCTAAACTGATAAAGTGGACTACTTCACGCACGATCTCTGCAGCATGTATAAAAATCACTTGCATTGAAACTGGAAAACCACAAGGACCTTAGTGTATTCATTACTTAGTAGAAGCAACCCAAATGGTATGAAATGGACCACGGGATAGGCCAGCAACTAAGGTATTTTAAGATCACTTTTGTCCTGGATTGATGTGTTTTCCAAGTCCTACATCAGGCTGTACAACTGTTTGAGGAGTAATCTAGTCCTTGCTTCCCACGGAGGTTGTAGTTTAGTTCACGTAATAAAGCCAATAGACAATGTTGAAGAAGGAAAACACCACCGGGAAGAAAATGCGGGACCATCGATCTATGGCATTTACATCAGTCAAGTCAGGGATGGTGATTTTCAGTTGAGAGGCACGTCTCCTCAGGCGACTCTTCTTTTGTGCCACGTGTCGCTCCAAAGCATTGCGCCCAAAACTATGCCTAGGCAACCCGGCTTTCCGATACTGGATGCTGGAGGCATCATAGGCAAGCATTGTGCTCCTGGGGTCTCCAAGTCCCATTACTGCTTCTGATGTGGCCATCTCATTTTTTATCTCGAGAGTGCTAAGTAAGATGTTCTCATGTGGGTCCATCTGTAAGGAGGAAGGATCAGAAAAGGTATATCTGAAACCGTAAGCCTTTGTTGATGCTTGCACTACAAGGAACTATTACAGGTACTTAAAGAAGCATCTCTCACAGTGACAAAGAATTAGTTTTGCTATTGCAATACTTGACTTTAATTGCAGCTCTGCAGCTATGTGCTATTTGAGTCTCAGGTTTTCCATTTATTAGATGGTATAGATTCAACCCCAGAGGATTCTTATAATGTAATTTTTCTATCAGATTAGCTAGCACAGTTTCATAATTTCTACTTACCTCATGCAGAGAAATAGAATATAAGAGATGTTCCTATACATAATTTATAATATTGATATGAACAGATGCAGAATCAACTTATTATGAATTGTATAATGATAGGGAATTAACTGCAGGATTATATTCATGTCTTTATGTAACTTGTATATTTACTGAGTTTATATATTTTTAGAATCAGTGTATACCAATAGTTATTATTCATTTTTCTTCCATCTTGGTAGTGTTGTGGAACTGCACCTGAAACTTACATCATCACAGGTAAGTGTCCTATCTCTGAGCGACATGTCCATCACCATTTTTTAAATTATAAAATAAGAAAATGTAAGTTCAATTTTCTGTCCATTGAGAAGTAGAACATTTTTGTATGTTCTACAAGAATCCAACACTTTCGCTGAGGAATTGATCACACAGTGCCTCACTACTTTATTTCATTGACCTTTATAGGTTGAGAACAAGCAAACAAGTAAGCAAGAAAATAAGCAAGAAAGGAGCCATGCCAATCTTTCCCTGCTCTTGACCATGGGTATGATGTAATAGGTGCTAGAGTTCCTGTTTTGAGTTCCCTCAAGTGATAACTGTAATTTGGAATTGTAACTGAAATAACACCTTTCTCCCAAAAGTTTCTTTGGGTCAGGATATTTTATCACAGCAACAGAAATGACAATAGGCCACCATGTTTACAGCACCAGTAGCGTCCTCTTCAAGACAAGAAAAATAGGGCCTAGAGGCCAAGGCCAAGGCAGATGTTGTCAGTGGCACAGTGGCAGAGAGTAGGGGTGAATGGCCTGGCATGTCTTTCCTACTGATTTGTCAGTTGCACTGAAATGCCAATTACAGTAAATATACTTATTTTGTTCATATTTGTCCTTCTTTCTGATAATTGTCTTGAGGGCACATACAAAGAGGTCTTGGTATTTCACTGTCATATCTTCAAGCATCCTGCATTGTTCTCTGTACAAAGCAGATGCTTAATAAAGAGCAGTTGAATGAAATTAATGTTGTGATACTATGGAACCTGATTAACATCTTTATGAGTCATTAGCAAGTTGGAGTCAATTATTTCACACCATGCTAAGGATCAGAATATCACCTCTGATATTCTGATCAGAAGCACCTCTGCAATCCCTCTTTGCCCTAAGGTATCTTTCTGTAGGTACACAGGTCTCTTTATAAAACAGAAAAAGCTAGAATTCCATGGCACCCAGTGTCACTTCCAGGTCCGATTCTTCACCCTCACACAGAGAAGAGGACTTGGCAACTAACAGCTTAAAATTAGGTTTAAGCATTTTATTTACAGAACCCTTTTAGCTATCCCAGAAGCCACATAGAGCTGGCGTTAATCCCAGCTGGAAAATAGTGAAGACGTGGCAGAGGAGGAATTAGCTTTAAATCTGTTCCACTTTTCCCTGCTGAAGCATGGTAGCAGTCTGCCTCGGTAAGCCACAATCTGGAGGCTTGCACAATTCTCAGTAGGAAGGATTGGATAAGAATGCTTGCAATCAAATGTCTTACTACTAAAGGTAAGGGCTGGGGTAGACTCGTGTTAACTCAGTGCCTTCAGATGAGAAGAGAAAGCATCTGTGCTCTGGCTGCCTATCTTGTCCAGTCTCCTCATTCTAGTTTCTGCCTGGCAATGCAGCATGTGTATCTCTATCCTCCGTTTCTGTATCCCTGGTGCAAACGTCCTTGACCATGTGGCTCCCTGATGTTGTGGTAGGCTGAATAATGGTCGTATGACTTTTTAGGAGTCAGTGGACATGTTTTGAGTCTTCAGATGGACAGAATAGAATAAATATACTCAATCAATGCCAGTAGATTTCTACCTAGAAGCAGGTGTCCCTGAGTCTGCAGAGTCTGTCGGCATATTTAAAGTGTAAGAGGCATTCCTGGCTTATAAAGTAGCTAGCACAGACAAGGAGTCTGTGCTCTGATGTTACCATGCCTTTGTATGGTGACATGTCTGATGCTAAGACAAGCTGTCCTCAACCCTTCATCATTCCCTTTCTTCTGCTTTTCCTTTCCTTCTTCCCTACTTAACTCTCTTCTTTTCTGCCTCTCTCAGTCTCTCTCCACTTCTATCTCATTGTTTCCTTAAGGAAACATGCGTTGGGTTTTACATTATCCCAGACTCAAAGAATACTAAGATATGATTCATCTCTTTCAATGGTCTCAAGAAATCCATAGGAAAGGCAGAGCAGGAAAGGAATTAGAGACATTTTTATGTCATAAGAGCTCCTTATAATTCAAATTACAAATGAGGTTATCCAGGTGAGGAGTATGATCTTCGCATGTAAATCAGTGTTGAGTTTTAGTATTTGGACTGGAATCAAAAAGAGCCCAAAACTTGCAATATTGGAGGCCCTGCCTGTTAAATTGGTGGCACTGTGTTTCCCTGTATATATTGGTCTTTCTCACTCAAAGGGAATAAACCGTGAAAGGAACCAACTCATGGTGTTATAGCTGAATGTAACAGGAGAGACTGACATGCTCTTTTACATATGTTTTAAACGGTAAAGGGATAAAACCTAAGACACATTACCTCTTAAGTTTATTTTAATTCTCCATTGTGTGCATAGAAGCAAAATTATCAATAAATATTTTCTTAGAAAAGAAGAAAAATCACTTATGAATTCTAAATTCAGTAATGATTATCTGTTGTTTCATGTGGAGATGTCTGTTGTTATAAGACGATGTTTGCTATGAAGCTTTTAGAGAAAGATTCATAAGGTACTTTAGAATAGGCATTATTCTCATTTGAGATGATAGGGAACAGAAAACCAGGAAAAATGAAGAGAGTTACTTCAAGTGTTACTATTCATAGGTCATATAAGAGTATATCATTGCTGGGTTATGGGTGCAAATGCATTACATCAATGCTACTTTAAACCTGTCTTAAATCTACCAGGGAAACCTGACTCAGGTGGTGTGGGAGAGGATAAGTGGCTATGTCTTTGATTCCCAAGCTCAAGTATGCACCACAACCCCCAAGAGACCTTATTAAAACACATCTTTGGCTTCCACTCTTATGATGCCTGACTCAGCAAATTTGGAATGCATTTCAATAATCTGCATGTCTAATAAGTTTCTAGTTGACACCGGGCTTCTGGTCTAGGGTCTATACTTAGAAAAATGAGTCCTTTGGACAGCAGCTGAAGGACACAATGTGACTTCAAATAAAGAAGCAGCAGGGCTCAGAAAAAATGTTGAAAAGGGAAGGTTTTGGCCAGAGGCCATCACCGAGCTGAAGAGTAGCTGTCACAGAAAACATGTGCAGCTTCCATTTATGCAGCAGTTCCAAGAAATAAGTATCCTATCACAAGCTTCATGCAATTATCATTTCTCTGGAACTCGACAGAAACTATGAGAGAAAGGGAGAGATCTTCAATCTTCCCATCTTAAATACGAGAAGCTAAAAAAAAAATGGCTAGAGATAGGCCTACGTGTGTCCCTACGAAGTACGCATAGTTGGTACACAATCTGGCCCAAGATCTGCTTCAATTTACTCAAATCTAAGTGCTGAGTTTTGTCACAAAATGCCTTCTCTGTATGCTGCACTTCGGTGACAATTTTTAGAAAACTCAAAGGTACAGACATTTTCACGTGGATTTGGCTAATTTTAAACATAAATTTCTCTTTTTTTAATTTTTCACTCTAATCTTTTCTGATTGACTCTCTTCACCAGAGCAATGGACAGGAAACACTGCTCATCTAATCAGTTTTGTACTGAGGACATGAATAAGATATCCTTTCCTTTAACTAATCATAAGCGCTGCGCAGCAATCTCCATTGCCTTGGAAAACAGACCAACATTGCTATGACATCATTCTCTCCTGGTATTTCTACTTGATCTAATAGCCATGGGTATTTTGTTGGTAGCAGGTGAAACAAGATGGAGGGAAGCAAAAACAAAGGGAAAGGGAGGAGAAGGAAAGGGATGGGAGAGTGACCCTGCACACTTGCAGACTGGCTGTCCTTGCAGGGAGCCTTTTCGCTGGTTTTGCATGGTCCTCTTATTTCCGACTCAAGTTATTCACCCTTCTGTTTTGAAAAGCACACTTGGTTTGGAGACGCTTTATGAAATCACCATTATCAATCGAATCTGTTGTTTGCCATTCAACCCCATTCCCCATACATTAAGATGCACCTGGAGCTGCAATTTTCAATTAAGAACCAAGTGCTGGATTTTGAGAGACAGACAAGGATTCCTGCAAGGAACCTCTGGGAATGAAGACAGCTTGCATATCATTGATTTGGCAGTCCTTCTGTCTGCAGAGACAGTGCTGCTGAGGCACCTTACCTTACAGAGTGACCTGGGAATTGCTGGCACTGTCACCAGCAAATTAACCCAAGACACTTGCAATACAGCCTTGTTTTGCTTTCTTGTTGTCACAATGCCAACTTTTTTTTTTTTTTTTTTCTGGGAAAGGAAACTGGGCTGGCTAAAGAATTCGATTTTTTGCAGTTTTTTAAAAAATAATATACTAAACTCTAAAAAGTGTGCCTTAGTTTTATAAAATAATCAGTCAGCTCCAAGTTTGGCTGTAGATTCTCTGTTTCTATCCTTTCTATGCCTGACTTAGTACCTACAGGGATGCCCTATGTCTAAGGTCATTACAGAAAGACAAATCACATCACTCACTGGCAGACTAGCTTACCTGAGAAGGGGAAACAGGGCTATTTTAAAACTCAGTTCCCACTGACATTATCCACCAAATGA